ATTAATAGGATGTTAATAACGGGTGCGTCCTATGTAACCTTCGGTATATATCACACACTAATGGGAAATATGTGACAGCAATGAATAGACTCATGAGAGGCAGTAGTTTGATTCATTTATATTCGCTATTTATTATTCTTTTTTTTTTTTCAACTTTGCTTTTGTTCTTGCCTACAATGAGAAGCAGTAGTAGGAGGAGTAGGAGTGGTAGTAGTGGCACGGTGGAGAGGTTTCTCAGCGGTTTGTGCTTCACAGCAAGAAGTTCCTAGGTTCGATGTTTGATGTTACAAACCAGGCCTTTCTGTGTGGTTTGCTTGTTCTCCCCATGTCTGCCAAGGTGTTCCCTACCTGTATGGTGACCTTGCTTTCATCAAGGAGGAGGGGATAGGTGGACACAACAATGATAAAGCATTTGTGGCTCTGTCTGTAAAAGGTGCGCAATATGAATAATACTTATATAGTAGTAGTAGTAGTAGTAGTAGTGCTATGTATGAATCACACTCCAATGTGAATTATGTTGTGATATTGAAAGTTGCAAATTGATTTTCTTTGGTGCAAATAGCTGGGTAGCACATCAATAAGGAGGGCTGTAGTTCAGGAAGTTGCACTGACATACAAAATAATAAACACCAACACAATGAGGTACCTCTGTATGATATAAGGCCAATAAAGTTAGAGTAGTTGGAGTGATGCGTTTTAGATAATAGTGACTTTTGATACTCAACTAGCTAAACTATTGAAATGCATCATTAGAAGTCTAATTTGGTGGCTCATACATTGCAAATAACCCAAGACTTGAGGGAATTTCAGTTTTATTGATGTTGCAACACCGTATTTGTACAGCACTGTGCATTCTTGTGTCTTTGCGGTTGATAAAGCAGCCACCTCGCGCCTGTGTAATGAATGTGAAAATGCATGCAGTGCCCTTCAGTGTGCGCACCTTTAGTTTGTTACGGGGCACCCAGGAGTCTAAACACGTCTGCAAAAGGCCATCAGTAATTCATGCAAACACGAGCCACAGCTCGGAATACCACGATTGCCCAAGAGGGGAAAGAAGTTAGCTGCAAGAAACAAGATCCTCCTTATAGACTAATGGATGTGTTAGCAAGTATGCTTTCAGACCGGCTTTCATGTTGGCTCCACCAGAGGCTATAGAGGGAATGGCAAATTAATTATAGAAATGAAGCCAACCTCCTTTCTTATCGTGGAGGGCAGCTGTGTGGCAGCTCTCTCCTCTGGTTTGCCTGTTCAACATCTATTTAAGCTTTTTTGGCTATCAATCCATATAAACCAAGTCAGGGCTCCAAAGACGAAGGTGCTTTTTGAGTGACGATGACAGAGGAAGACCCCGGAACTTCAGCATTTTCTGTAGGTTTTATTCCACATCAGTCCACGTCAACAATGAATTCATAGTTCAAGTAAATGATCTTATAAGTTTGTAGTGAATAGTATATTATCAATTCAACGCATAAATGGAATTCAAGTACACACCAAACGCTTCAAATAAGAGACATTGAGAAAGGATTAATTAGGTTGAGGAAGGTTCCTTCTGGGTTGCACACTTCACCACATTACTGCATTAAGGATTGGTGGTGGTCGAAGAGTCGGACGGCACAGATTAGTCGCTTTGACTCTGACAGTCTGCCCCAGGGCAGCCTATAGCTGTAGTAGTAGTAGTTCCACCTCTGCATAAGGAGTGAATGAATAATGCTAGTGTCATATTGATTGATCAAATGGTACTCTTATTTAACAAATCACAGGCAATTGGCTTCAAAGAGTGAAACCAATTGCAAGATCCTGCAGGGCCCCCCAATATCAAACTGCACTTTACATTGAAGAAGATATTACGTTTTTTGTTTTATATTTATATAAAAAGCAGTAATTGCACAATAAAAAAAGCAGTAATTGCACAATAATTACAATTTGCTTTAAGTGTATAAAGTTATGGTTTTGTGGACACAGTTTGGGTCCCCTCTGCAGTGCCTCTGAGGCCCTAATATATGTGTTTGATGTAATGCATTAACAATAATCAAATTCAAACCACCAGCCAGAAATTGATGTGTAAAGAGAAGTGACTATAGACGCTTACGTGACAAAAAAAGTTATTTCTAATTGTACTGTAATTTTGTTATGTGAGTAACAATTAACCTTATCTTTCTAGTAGCTAACACCATCTGGCTTTCACCATGAAAGTGTGGCCTCCTGGTTTGGACCGGTGTGTTGTGTCTTCTCATGTCTCAGATAGACGCCTATTGGTAGGAGCTGAAACAAGGAATCCTCTTTTGTGGGCTCCATTGATCGTGGTCCTCGGCTAAACTCAAGGTGAACAGAATGCTCAAACTTCTCTCCAAATCTAGTGTTGATGAACTCTTATTGGCACATTCACACTTGTTGGTCTGGTTCACAATAACTGGACCAAGTCTGCGGCACATATCTGTTTCAAAAGATACTGACTCGAGGACACTTGTTTGTGGATGGTTTTACATCCATAAATAAAGTTTTTTTTTGTGAACCAGAAATTGTCCAGTTAAAGTGAACCAGACCAATAACCATGAACTAAGGGTTACTTTGTCAATGCGTAAAGTGTACCTTTTTTCTTCTTTAGGAATTGGGCTTATTAAAAATCAATACCAATTGATTCCCAAACAAAACCAGAAACTGTTCAAGAGCAACACTTCAGTGCTATCTTCACTATAAGTTTCACCTCAGTCTGACAATAAGTTAAGGATCTTAATCCATCATTCTGATTCCTAATAGTTTAATTAACCTTGTTGGGACAACAAACACATCTGTTCAAATCGGGGAAAGAATATTAATTAAACCAAGGATGCATTCATATTCTTTAAAATCCTTTATAGAGTCCTCAAAAATCCTGTTTTGTAGCTCTGAAGTAAATCTTCTGCAGTATTTCCAACACAGGATGTCGACTTATTCAATTCACCTGTCAAACGTATTTGTTTTCATATAGCCTATTGTACATGTGAAACTACATTTGCTACAGGTACAGCCATTATAAATAATGAATGATACAGATACTCATTTAATAATGACACTGCTATGTCCCCGCTGTTATTTACCATTCATTTGTATATGGAATCCTGTATGTGTAAATGAATAATGCTTACATACATAACATAACTTGACATGCTGATGGCACATTTGAGAGTAAACACAAGAGTCAAGGTCACATTTAATAGTTTATTTATAAGCTGCTGTATACATTCAGTGAATATTCCGATTTTTATGTTGCCAGAAGCCATGGGTGAGACCAGCAAAACATTCAGCTACAAGATCTAGAGTTGGTTGTATGCAATCGGTCCACTCTCTCTCATTTTGTGTCAACTTTGTCTGGACATATGTACTGAAAAACAACAATGTCCAGATTTCCATGAGTTGTTCTTCCCATGGACCAGCTTATTCCAGAGCTGTGTTTGTAAAATGGGAGCCCATTCTGTTCCACCTTATCAGCTGAAGCTACTTGTTAAGATCAACTCAACAAAGACCCAAAATGCATCTCATCTTTAGCTTATTCAAAGTCATATCGGGCCAGCTTTAGACATTCAAGGTGGATCTCGGATGTCTCCGTGTTTGAGAAGTTGACGCCAACGTCTTGCAAGATTATGTGTGCATGTTTTTGGTTTCTTTTGCTATCTCACTCGAAGCTCAGACGAACACTATGTTGGTGCTGTAATTTTTTTTTTCACTGTAGGATTACTTTTTTTTGTGTTTTTCAAAGTTTTCTAGTAGCCCACACAGAAACTTGATGGCACAAGAACTGACCATAAGAAACTCTTTACAACAAGGTAAACTGCAAGTCAACAGTTGCTGGGGGTCACACAGTAAAAAAAAAAAGAAAGAAAGAAAAATCCCAAAAATGATAAAATAAAAAAGCAAGTTAATTTCAAGTATAACTTACTCCTTAAAATAACTACACAGCATTAAATATTCTCATTATACATTTTTAAATTATTTATAAAATATATTTTGGCATATATGTTTTTTTTCATTTTTGTGTTTGTGTAACAAACGCTACTGTAGCTTCAGTTGAACACCAATGTTTATTTGTTTTACTTTTTTCTTGAAACAAAACATTAAAGGGATTGTCACATAACAACGGGTTATTAAAAATGATAATAGTAAACCCTATACAGAGCTTCACAGAGCAAGACATGAGCGTGACGATCCCCTCTATCCTAGCCCAATAGTCAAAAGTCAAAAAAGTACAAGACCAGAGCACAATGTTCTAACTTGTGCTCCACTGGCTACAATCAAGGTTGGGCACAGGAGATTTCAAAAGCAGAAAGTCTTTTTCATACAACCAAAAAAAAAAGACAAGGATGAGTCTGTCCCATTTCCAGTGTTGTTCGAGAGTGTGCCGGTCAGATTGTAATCGTTTTTGTAGTCTCATCAAACAGGAACAGGATAAAAGCCCACAGCCTGAGCACAGTCTGTCTTCAGGGATGTGGACTTGGTCCTCTCATTAATCTCTTCTGAACATTCCAAACATCGACCTCAACCCAGACTGTCCATCCTGTGTACACTGTTGTTAAATACATTGACAGAGCTCACTGTACAAAGGAACAAAGAAATGTTGGCAGCTAGAACAAACTGCACAAACCTAAGAAGGCAAATTCCAGTTTGTTATACAAAAGTAGTTCAAAAGGCAAAACTGTACTCGCGATTGGCACCTTGGGTGTCCACAGAGCGGTGTCCTGCTTTGGTGCTGAGAGCTGGACAGCTTCTCAAGCCGGTGCAACAGTAACCAGTTTGTCCACTCACTGCAACTGAGAAGGGAACACAAAGCAAACAAGGAGAAGTACTGCCACTACGACAAAGCCACATCCACTAGCTCATGGAGCACACAACTAGCTGCAGCGTATTGCAGTCCATCAGAGGACGGACTGGACACTGTACATGGGTGTGTCTCTGCAGCAGGCCGGCCTCCTGCACACACAGCTATTGCGGGTTGATAGAAGTGAGTGAGTGAGGTCCAGGGCAGGCTAAAGCACTATGTCTTTGAGGCGCTTGGTGCTGGGGGACTCCTTGTCCCGACTATCCTGGAGGAGAGTGTTGATCTCTCGCACTGATGGCTCGCTGTCCTTGCCTTCCGGCTGCCGCAGCATGCTGTGGTTAGCAATGCGCTCTGCATCGCGACACTTGAGTGTGTTGTAAGCAGAGGGACAGGGTTTAGACACTGGGCTCTTCAGGTGCATTGGGGAGGTGATGGGGCTGGCAGCCTCACGTCCATTCCCAGCCTCTCGCACTGCCCCTCCATTGGCCTTAGGGCTGCACACCTGAGACTCCTGAGTCCGCTTCCCCTTCAGATCTCCCCGCTCCACGTCCTCATGGCCGTCCTTGCCAAAGGTGGCAAAAGTCCTTTTGATGGTGCCATCCTCATAGTGTGGCACGTCCACCGTAGTGGCCTCAATGGACAGGGCGATGACATTACGAGAGTGCTCTGGTGACTTGGCTCGAGCTGGAACGGCTGCACGTGGCATCCAGCAGCGGTCAGAGTGTCCTAGAATACGGCACTCGTCTTGGCAGTGGAAGCTTTCATTGGAATCTGCAACAGAAGAGCAGATATACACTATTAGATACATTCAATATTGTATTCTCCTTATAAGCTTGAAATAGTATTAGAGTGCTGGACTGTGAATTTTGAGATCCACAGGTTCGATTTGATTTTCCCAAGTGCAGAGCCTACCAACCGACTTTCATCTCCAAACACTGCTCTGCTTTGAACCAACAAAACAAGATGTTTGGGACATTTCTAATGCTGCAATTAAATGAGAAATTGTTAAATCAAAAGTCCATTTGCAGCTCTTGTATAATTGGGTTTTCTACAGCAATATGGGATGGGAGGCGGCTTTAAACAGTGCAATCAGATCCATCTCGGCAAAGCAGCAGCAGACGGGTTGTGGTGTTGTTGCCTCTCTGCCTCTCTGTCTCTGTCATCTGGCGCCGAGTTATAAATATGTAATGATGTTTAACGCTGGAGTGAAAAAAAGATTTGTCTGCGTCTAGAGGAGGCTGTACTGCTGGTGACGGCCTAAAAGGACACACAATAGATCTTTTTTGTTTTCATGCTCAATCGCAGTAACTGCAGAGTGTCAAGGTGATTATTGAACAATTTAGCCGTGAAATCCCGGCAAATATGAAACCCATTATTTCAGCGTCAGGGATAATGCTTGAAATCCTAAGGGCTGGGCGAGGTTGGAAAACAACAACTACTGCTTTTGGGGTGATTTATGGTTTTAATTGATTTCCCACCTGACCTTAAAAACACAAGTTTAATAACATTTTGGAGCTTATTGCCTGAAAACAGCAGTAATAGACAGCATTGTCCAAGAAGCAGAAACTTGATTTTAGTCTCCATGCAAACCCATAGGATCTTTTCAAAACAATTTGACGAATTAGGATTAGTTATCCACTAATGAACCTTAGCCAAAGACTTGCAATAATACATGGTCAAATGAAAGGGGAATCTGAGGGTGAACCGGTGACTCCGATGTCGAGGTGATTGGGAGATGTGGGGAGAGTCATAGGCTGTACGACCTGAGGGCCATTTGATGCTGCTTTGATTGCTGGCTTTAATTATTATAATTTTTGTTATGTTGGCTTTTGAAATGCCAAGCTCTAACAGGCATCAGTGATCTCCAAGGGACCCTCTCAATATTACAGCTAATGGTACTGTTGGATTGCCTTTTGGTACAGTGACGATTTTTATGGTCGAATTTAGAATGATCCGAGGCAAACAAGTGTCTCTGTGTGATTTAATACAGTAATGAAATACATTATAATTGCAAAAAGTTAATCTAAGCAGTGGAGAAGAGCTCAGCCAGACCTTTGAGGAGGCCCGCTAAACTCGTCCGCCCAGAACAAAGCCCCAGTCTGCAGTGATCCCAGACTGGGGAGGGGTGAAAGGAGGGAGAGTGGCTATGAGGGTGCAAGTTCTCATCTAATTTATGAGCCCCCTTCCAAACAATTCTGGTTTCTTATCAGTGAAATGGTGCCAGTGTGTCTGGATGGACACAAAGACTCTGTGTTAAGTTAAAGTTATTGAGAGTATTTTTTTTACCATTTCTTATGTTATTGATATCATTAATAGGAATTTTCCACTACATGATTATTTCAAGAGATTTGCAAACATGCTGTGACCAAGGCCTATTTTGAATTACATAATATTCCGATAACACTCTACTGCCTTCCAAAATTACATCACAATAATGTATGAAAACGAAAATGAATCTAAGACTGTTAATTGCATTGATCCCATCATTGTTTATCATCAGACAACATGACCAAAATACTTTGAAGGAGACCATAGAATTGTTCCATTATTGTTTATCATCAGACAAAATGACACAAATACTTTGAAGGAGCCCTTACAAACGTTCCAAAGACCCCCGGATATCCCCAGACCCCTTTTAAGAACCTTCTGGTTTGACAGAGGAAAAAAACTATCAAGTGTACAGTACATGCAGAAATTGCTCTAAAAACCCAATCAACTCTTTTTTTGTGGGGATTTTGAGGGAAGCCACCACCCTAGTTTCTTCCATATTCCACTGTAGCTCCCCATCTCCAATCGAACAGCACTCGCAGCCTGGCACATATCTGCTATGACACATTTCCTCCTCTCTCCTCCTGCTTGTCTTGTTCCGAGCATGAGACATCCTCCATTCTAGCGGCTCAAGGTGACAAGGAAGGAGCGTACGCGCAAGGGATTTACCATCGACCCAAATGCATACGCTTACATCTGGCAATCGCGGCTTGACAGATCACCTAATTAAAATCACTAATGATCTGTTTTTTTTTCTTCCTGAAAGTAGAGAGAGAGAAGCACCTAGTCTAAGGCCCCCAGGGGATCGATATTTCAAGATTTGAGACGCGCTTTTCAGGGACAGCTCTGCCAGTGTTGTCTCTCACAAAGTGTAATCTGACGAGGCTGACAGATAACATGCGGCTAAATGAGTGAGAGAATGCTGTTGATGTTGGCGGGGAGGCTAACACAAGCAGTGACACGATGCGACTGACCTACGGAGGATATCAGACGTGCAACTGAAGGAATGCTTGGGAACATGGATAATAATGAGGAGGCCGATGCAGAAACAAATGCAGAAAACAAGACATTTTCTCCCATGGAACGTGTTTGCAATAACATACAAATGTCGTCTTTGGTGTAGTACTTTCTTTTAGAAGTCAGCTCAGCAGCAGTTGCGGGAGTTTAGACTGGAAGCGTTTATGCACAAAAAAGACATTATTTTTAAACACTCAATTCAGGCTAAATTATGATATGCGTCCAAATGTATGTATCTTATCTTATCCAACACGGTAATAACATGTGACTTAATGAAACAGTAGTTTAGGTGCCATACATTCATTTAATAAAGAATAAAAATCCCTTTCTGTGGAGATTTGCATGGGAGGCTTGTAACCAAGGGGCACCAGCTGCAATCAAGAAGACAAAAGGCAGCACCCTCGGCTTTGTTGCAAAAAAAAGAATCAATCAGAAAATAATAACATAATCACAACACGTCTTTACCAGGTAGGATTGAAACAATCCGAGACGCTGATCTTAGCGTATATTAGTCATGTATATATATAGAGAGAGGTATATCTCTATTTATATAACTATATTATATGTTCTTTCGATTCATCAATAGTTGTTCTGATCCCAAAAGGCCAGTGAGTTTGTTTTTTTACAATTGACTAAAACAAAGCTCAAATGATGCCCCTAGAGATCACTTGTTAAACATTTGGTTATTTGATGTGAAATATTTTCATTCAGTCTTGAGATTTCTTCTTAGCTATGAAAGGTAAGCATGTAAGGTAAAAAAGAAAAAAACAAATCCTGATTAGTTGTTTTGGTGAATTGCTTTATTTAAACCATTTCCAAAAATCTAGGTCTGAAATTGAATATTCTTCTAAAATCTATTGATTTAAAGAACTTACTTTCTAAGTTACTTTCTTTAGAGAGTAACTAAGTAAAGTAACAGGTTAGTTTTGAATGAAAAAGTAACTTCCCCAACACTGGTCTTCAGTCATAAATACTCATGTTTTGATCCAGGTATACTATGGTTAAAAAAACTGATTATTCAAAAATTAGTTGATTTTGATAATCAAAGATGCGGTTAATCAATGAACATCCAAACAGTGATGTATGGTCGGCTCCAATTTTCGTAATTTAAAAATTAAAGTGATTTTTTTTCCTCAGTGCCAGTGATCCACCCGCCTCTTTATAATGAATGCAATTTCCTCTAAATACTTTTTTTCTCTTTTTGCCGGGAGCACTTTTAAAAGCATACAAAAGCCTTGAGGCACAAAGGAAAATACACACTGCTTTAGAACTGCATACATGGAAGTTGAATGTGCTATCTCTGCGTTCCTTCAGGGGTCTATGGGGGAGCAACTGGCTTGTAAATGGCATTGTTAGAAACGCCAAGTGCCATTAACACACACATCCTGCCCGTGCTCACAGCTCCAAGCCTGCAGATGTTGCTCGAAAAGATTGCTGAATAAAATGGAGGAGATAGAATTTAAATGAAAAAAGTAGCAGTCCATTGACCTCATTCAAAACACAATCACGTTCCAATAGCGGCGGATGAGCGTGCGTGTTGCGAAGTCAACAAGTCAAGAATGGGAGTTGGCAAAATCAGAGCCGAAAAGAGAAAGAGGAAATATATGGGTGCCAATCACACGCTGACACAGGGTAAGGAGCAGGAAGTCATGTAAAAAGCGCTTCTTATCAGCCGTTTAATGTCGAATAATTACTGGAGCCGCGCGGTAGGGTTGGAGCAGGTTTAAACATAACGCAGCGTGTAGGGCGAAGCATGGAGTGCAAATCAGACATGAAAAAGACGCAGCTAAAGACGATTTCACTCCCGTTTTGTTCTCCTCGCTTTGTTTGTGAAACCATGTTCTTCAAAAAAACAGATGAAAATACTACGGCATAATACAATAGGAGCTATAAATAAAACGGTAATATTATGCTGCAGTATTAAAAATTAAATAACATGTAAATAAATGAACAGTTACATTCAAAAATGAAAATGTTTTGAAAAATCCATTCTGCTTGGCTTTGCTATTCCTTGTATTTGTCTGTTTATTATAATTTATGCTGTGTTTGCCCATTCATGAGTGCTTTTATTCCTGCTTTGAACTGTGAGTGTGGATGAATACCCCGATGTAAAAAGGCCTTGAATGCTTTGCAATCTTCAGGGAAAATTGTTTTGGATTTACTGTAGAAAGGCCTCTTCTGCGTTACATGGTAGACTCACTGACAATAGATTCCTTCCTTGCTTCACATATTGTATTCAGATTTTCAATTCCTTCCTCGGGGAAAAAAAAATCAACTTAAAGCGGCACTACCTTTTGCAGCCTGTATACTGATAGAACTGCTTTGCTGGGGGGCTCTATTTGGTAGCAGCTAATGTAGCAAAACAGAGAAATCAGCAAAAGCCTCTAAAATCCCCAAACACAAAGCGGAAGGGGGAGAAAAAAAATCCCTGAGCCTGTGCCAGCTATTTATTCCACATCCATTTTTGGCTGTAGTCTGGTTTTACA